TCCCCTGTACTCTGTTTTTTTCTAGATATGGAGTTTTTAAGGTATATTTTTCCAGGAAATATTTTTCTGAATGTATAGTTTCCATTCTGTTAGAAATATGTCTATATTTTAATTCTTTAACAATTAATTATATTTTCATAAAGGCTAAAATTATTGAGTAGTTATTATGTGTCAAACTAAGTTCTATCTATCTATCTATCTATCTAAACCCTACAAATTTATGTAGTAATCATCTCTCTCTCCCTGTCCTTCTCTCTCTTCCTCTCTCTCACTCAAACGTTCTCTCTCTCTGTCTTCTCTCTCCTCTCTTCTCTCTTCTCTCTCTTCCCTCTCCAAGCCTCCCAGGCACTACAGCCCTAGAAGAAGGAGCATGTCTCCATGGTCCTGTGGAATTATTTCCCAGTTCAAATCTCCCAAAACTCAGGGTTCATGCATTCCTGGCCTAAGAACTATACTAGTTGGATCAAAGGAAAGAAGTCTCAGAGATGATAATGTGATACCAGAAGAAAGTAGTATGAAAATACTTGAGGGGAAAATTACTACTTAATATCTTCTAATACTATTACAGTATGAGCTTAAAAATCTAATCTAGATTAGATTTAACATTGGAGATTAGAAAACATGCTAAACACATTTGAATGAGTCTCCCAAATTGTTCTTTGGTCAAAAGCAAAGATCATGGCCTCCATTACTTCTCATAAAATGATGCCCAAACCCAATGGCTTTCCCAAGGCTTCCTTAATTAACCACAACAGTCCCATATTACAATAACCCCCTGTATTGCCTAAAGAGTTGTAGAATCAGGAATTGGGAATTATCTAGAGATTATACACTCATATGCTACATTTTTCATCTGAAATATTCAAAATAATTTTATACTGCCCCTCCTTCTCAGCCAAGCCCCTTTACTGTGAGGACAAATCCCTAGCAAAAGCCTAGACTCCTACTATAGCTAGTACAATCTTTTCTGGCCTGCACAAGATTTGAATGAAAAAGAAAACCAAAATCAATCTGTGTTAAAATACCAAGTGTTAACAGAATTAACAGGACAAGATGAGCATTGGGATCACTGGATAGAAATTGTTCTTTTCCCTTGTTAAGTAGTCCAACCACCATTATTTGCAAAGCCCAGAGCAAGATCCATTCTATGACCATATATTCGATTCTAAACCATATATCTAAATATTTAAAAGTTATAAATCATGCTAACAAATACACCTACAAAATGATATAAGACCAGGTTTGTATTTAGAATTTAGAACAATTCACAATTTTACACTAGGAACTAGAAGCATGACAAGCCTCAGTTTCCTGGAATGAAGTATCCTCCTTCTTGCTTCTTTTCTCATTCTTTACGGTGTTCCAAGGTTGGACAGACTCTGTGTACATGGAGGGTAGAACAGTCCTTCATCAACAAATTCCCCATGGCCACTGTCTGAGAGCTATCCTGGGGAAAAAGTTTATATAGCCCAGGAAATGGCCATACAGTGATCTCAACCATAAAATCCAGCCTCTCTCAGGTACTAGCACACTCAGAGGAGCATGTTTTCATGATCTTGGGGAATCCTTGCCCAGTACAAGTCTCTCAGAACACAAGGTTCATGGAAATGACCTTGCATTCTTTGCCTAAAGGCTGTATAAGATCAATGGAAAGAAATCTCGGAGACAGGCACTAGATCCTTCAAGTAGTATTAAATGCTTATTATATGCCAGGTTCAGGGCATGTAAAGAAGAAAAGACATTGCTCTTTCCTTGGAAATACTCATAGCTTAATGGAAGAACTAAGCTAAACACTATGCATAATATAATTGCATAATGAAATTCAGGTGGATGTCCAAGTAAAAAAGTTCACTCCAAAACTAATTTTCTCACATACATTTTTTCTGAGGAACACAAACACAATTTTTCTGCTTTGAAGCAAAGAACTGCTTCTTAAAATCTAGCAATTCATCATTAGCAATTCATCCTTTATCCCACAGGGGTACCAGTGTCAGGCTGGCCGCCACCTCATGCAGTGTTGTAAATCAGCATTCCTGCTCAAGGAAGAATGCTAACAGCAAGAAAAGTTTTACAAAATCTGTGACTACTCAATGTCGAGCTAAATTTTCAGGTGTGGTATCTCATTCTACCTATTCCATTCCTCCAATATGGCACACATAGGATTGTAAATTATTAAATCACACATTGCATCTTTCATTATATTAGAAGTATTTAGAAGGAAAAAACTTTATCTCTGTAACATCTAGCAAAAGGCTTGATCTTAGAGGATGCCCCTTTAACACTTGCTGAATGAATTTCAATTAAGTTTACACAAAGTAGGCTCTATTTTGAATGTAGTACCATAAAAATGTTTTATTAAATACAGTATAATTTTCTGATGTAATTATCCATGTTTTTTTCTTGCACTGGTTGTCAGAAAACACAATATTGTGTAATATTCACAATATGCATATCTGGATATGTGAGAAACAAACAGGAAGTTAATTAACTTATTAATTAACTATTTGTTAATTTCCTAAACAAATAGGAAGTTATCTACACCAGTCTTAAGGGAAGGCAAAGAGAAGGTAAGACTTGCAAGACTTATACATTTACCAGGAAGTATTCAGAAGTCACCCTTATATGTCCCTCTCAAAATGTGGGTGTTGACGTTCTCATCCCTGGCATCTTGTTTGGAGACAGGGTCCTCACAGAGGTAACTGAGTTGAAATGAGGTCATTAGGATGAGTCCTAGTCAAATAGGCAGGAGGAGTAAAGGGAGGGGAGGGGGTATGGGAGTAGGAAGGAGAATAGAATGAATTGGACATTATTACCCTATGTACATATATGATTACAAGATTGGTGTGATTCTACAACATGCACAACCAGAAGAATGAGAAGTTATACTCCATTTGTGTAGATGTGTCAAAATGCATTCTACTGTCAGGTATAACTAATTAGAACAAATAAAAAAATATGACTTGTATCTTTATAAAAGGGGAAATTTGAACACAGAGACACACATAGAGGAAAGGTAATGGGAGTAGTACAGGAAGAAGACATTCCTACTCAAAACCAAGGAGGGGAGCCTACAGCACATCAGATTCTCCCCGCCCAGTCCTCAGAATGAATCAACTCTGGTGAGGCCTTGATGTCAGACTTCCTTCCCCCAAAACTAGGAAACACTCATTTTGATGCTCATTTTGGGGTATTTTGCCCTTGTAAATAATATACTAAGCATCTAATAAATGTTATTATAATTTTTTTATCACTGCTGCATTTTTAAAAGAGTGGAATCATAGGCCACCAGTGAAAAGTCATAAAAAGCATCTGCATGTACCAAAAAAAAAGCAACTACCCAGCATTGGCTTTATGAAACTTAAGTTTAAAAGCTCTATTTATATGTTCAGGAGTCAGCAAACAGGTTCTGTTGGCTTTTTTTTTTTTTTTTTTTTGGTTGCCCACTTATTTTTCCTCTCTTTTCTTCTTTTGGAGTTTGCTATCTTCTTCTTTCTTCACTAATAGTTTAGCCCCATTTAAACCAATTACCTTTTTCCTAATCACAAATATAAAAACAGAGATGGTTAATGCCATGTTCTACTTGACCCTTTAGACAAAGTTTATCAGAATGAAAGTTTCTATGTATTCAGAAGCAGCATGTATATAATCACATTCAGCCTGCCCTTCAGATTTTTCTCATTCCAATGGTTCTTCAGCATGCAGTAAAAACATACACTGAGAATCTGTACTTCAAGAAAAATATTTTGGAATGCCTTCTCAGAACTCTTTCATGTTCAGCAATATTTAATGCTTTAGAAGACACAGATCTGTTTGTTAAAGGGGATTATATGAGGGCTCCTATCAGCTTCCACCCAGGCAGCTTTTTAACTCACCTATTTTGTTACATCTCTCTCAAATTTGCTGGCACAGTTTATATTTCTATCTACTCTGCATGTAAACAAAATGATTATATCCAATGTTACTAAAAATAAGCATATGAAACATTATTAGAAGCCAAAAACTAGGGTTCATTACTCGGCAAAATGGAATTACATCTTTTAAGATATTCTTTAAAAATAAAATATTTCTAAGAACATTAATTCCCCAATAAATATTGAACAAGGGGATACCAATAACCACAGTTTGCATGTGCATATAAATACTTGTCACAGTCTTAGTAAATTTCTAAGCTTCAAGAAACTCTGCAGTATAAACACCACAAAATTATAAAAACATCACTTGAAAGCAATCCTTATAGAGATTTTTTTCATACTTTTTTAAGTTTGAGGAACAAATTTTTTAGTTCTTGTTTCTGTCACTGTGCAGATGGTTAATTTTGACTGAAATTTTAAAACTAAATAAAACAATTATTATTCAAAATGCAAAATAAATGGAAATAAGTTTTCAAATGAAGTCACTTCTGCATTTATAAGTATTTATACTACTGGAGTTATGGAAGTCTTAAAACTTCACTAAGTCTTGGGGACACCATGTTATTAAATATTATTTTACATGTCTTTTTCTCCATTGTTTTGTTTTCATGGAAGGAAAATATTTATTTTTCAGTTCTGAATGTAGCACATCCCAGCAGATATATTTTATAGTTACCAATTAAAAGATGTTGTTCAGCAACTACCCTGCATAATAAACCAACTTTGTCTCCTACCACACATCAAAGTGTAATTCTTTGAAATTCCTCAGATGTACTCATCATCAGACTGTAACCCTGAGGCTTCACTGAATTTGTTTATGATTTGTGTATTATTATTGCTTAGGGCCCAGCTTAAAATTTCGATAAAGTAAGAAAATGTGAGATTCCTTCCATTAAGAGTATTGCAAAATAGAGATCAAAGGCATAATTTTACTCCACAATCTGTACGATCTAACTTGGTTTATGATTAAAGAATGATTTTAATTCTCAAACTTTTAAACTTTATTAAATGTTGTGGTAATGCATTGAATAAATTCCAGACCTACATAAATACACAGGCAGCTGTTTGTAATTTGCATTTTTATCAGTTTTGAAAGAGCACAATGTACTTCCTGCATCTTATTTTCAGAATTTGCATTTTATCATCTTTGGCTATCCAGTATATAGTATGGAGTACTTGAATATCTCATTCTTTGAATTTTCATTGTTGATTGTAAATCAGATGATGGCTGGCACTTATCTCTTTTCTCATTTTTCTCTTCTCTCAACCTCCAAGTTTACTTGCTACCATTTCTTCTTGGCTCTAATAATAGAATACACAAAATATTTTATTTTCTTTTCCAGCCTTTTTCAGGACTTCAATAATCATATTTCCTTTCCTAATTACTTACCATAAAATCTAAAGGCAAAAAAAAATAAGCTTTTGCTTTTACTCATAAATTTTCAAAATGTCGTTCAAACTTCATCAACTTCTTTTCAGTGCTTACTGAGTATTGAATTTAGAGGGAGGAGGAATGGAATGGAGATAATACTATACATAAGTCTGCACTCTGAGATATTCACAATGAACAGAATGAACATTCCATAATATAGAGACAGGCACTGCCATTCACGTCAGCTATATCCCTATCAGAAAGGACATGTGGCCTTGAGGGAAAGCTGGCAATGAGAATGATGTCTCTAGTTGCCTTCAGCTCCTAGCCCTGATTCCCACAGACACTCAACAATTTCCTCTCCTTCTGCATTGTCCTCATAGAATCCAACAGCATTTTCCCAAAAGGCTCCTCTCACCCATTTACACTTCTCTGGCCTTGGCTGCCAGAGCCTTAGATGAACAGACTGGTGGCAGCTTGTGTTTTCTGCCTCCTTCCCTCTAGCAGTCCATCTGTCCCCTGGGAAATATTGAAATTGCTGTTCTATGCCCTAGCAAGAACATATGGGGGAAAAACACAAGCTAATCTTTCTCTTCATATTTTTTCAATGACAACAAATGGAAAAGATGAGTTCTGGAGTTACCTATTTCCCAATCAAAAGCAAATAAGAAAACAAAATTTATTTTATGATAGATTATTAACTTTATAAAAGTTTTTAATTTATGACATCCATTTAATTTCTAGAAACTAAGTCCCTATTCTTACTGATGTGGAAAATGTATCCAGTTCTTTTCACAAAAATTTAGTCCAACCCAAGTGATTTCTTAGTCACTTATTTTCATATTAAGTCACACTTACATTTAAAATTTTTTCTTAGGGGTTTCTCCCTACCCCATCTCTTTGCTGTTGATACTAATTTCTGGTATTGGAACAAAGGGAAATGTCTGCTGCTCTGTGACAGCTAGGAAGAGAATATAATTTCAATAGGCTTGACTTGCCTGGGTCTTAAATGGAGGTTTCTCAAACTTTAATGCGTACCTATAATCAACTGAGGATGTTGTTAACATGCAAATTCTGACAAAACAGGTCTGATATGGAGATTCCACATTTCTAGCAAGCTCCCAGGTGATATCATTACAGTTGGTCCTCAGACCGTACTTTAATTAACAAGGGTTTGATTGGTGAATGCTGGGCTTGGTTTGTACTGATCTCTCTGGCAAAGACCATCAATTGAGTATTATAGCTGCATACCAACCCCCCACTCCAATTGTACTCAACAACAAGAGCATCTTTCTGATTCTTACCACAATTCTTGTATGATTCATGTTTATCTGGGATGGGTAAGGAGAAAGCAATTGGGATACAAGAGTATTCATTGGAACCGGAAAGGGGTCAGGGAGACTACATCCTTTAATATTCCAAATACCATCTCACTCCAGAAGGAAACCATAGGAGAAAACGCTGTATCTCAAAAATTGCTAATTTCACTCAAGATGAGAAAATGCTGTATCTCAACAATTACTAACTTCATTCAAAATATTCATCTTTATCTCCTTCCCTCACCCCAAATTAAATGCCATCATCACTTGAAAAACAAAGCTAAAAGAAAATATAGTCACTTAAATAGCCCTGCAACAGAGTTATTTTACAGAACATTATAATTTGGGAAAAGATGGGCAGGAAATAAAGACAGTTGTTTCCAGTGTATAATATATACATAGGTCTAAGAACTGAGTCGCAGTTGCAGTCAAAAAAGTTTTCAAGACCTTACAGTTCAGTTATCACTTTGGGAAAGGGAAAATGTCTATTCTGGATGTGTTCTGGTTCCTTCCAGGAAGCACTAATAAAAGAGCTTATAGATTTCAGACTATTTTGAAAATTCTGGGATATTTGTATAGATAAGAGCTTTGTCTGAAACTTTTTTTGAAAGATTCAGTTGTCTGAGAAGTAATGAAATTTTATTCTGTGTAGTTTTCCAAATCTACTGCCCACTCCCTTTCAAGCTAGGAAAAGACAGAAAGCTATTTAACAAAAGATCAACCTCATGTCAGGACTCCTACAATCCTCTGTCCTGAGGAGGTTCCTGGGATCCCCAATTCCCTCCTATAGCACAAAGTACTACCAGGTGGAAAGCTCAGTCACTTGGCACCTTCTGGCTGAGAAAATTCATCTTGGATGCCCTGTCATCCAAATCAGTCTATATTTGTCTATGGTAGATATATAGCAAGGCTTTGCCTCTTATTTGTACCACAATATGGTTTAATATGTTTGTCTTGTAGTGTAGCAAAGGATACATCTAAACATTGTATACAACTGCTGCACCTACTTACTATTCCTGTTGATAAGGAAAATAATTATATCAAAAGTTTTTCTGATAACAGGCAAAGAGAGGGTGGAAATGTAGCTCAGCGGTAGAGTGATTTCCTAAGCATGCATGAGGTCCTGAGTTAAAAAAAATTGGCAAAGAGGAACACAATAAAACAAGGTAAAATTAAATTGCTAATAGACAAGAGAATTTCAAAACTCCAAGTAAATAAGTGTGCATATATATCTTGAAAGTTGTATTCATTTAAATTTTTCTCTAAAATATTTCTTGAACTTAAAAACTTGTCATTCATTTTCAGAATCACATGATACCTTAAAGTAAATATTTACCTGGATATATTTTTTCAGTTTTTGAATAAGGTTTTGAAAAAGGAATTCGTTTTCGCCAGGCTGAACCATTATATGAAGTTGACATATATTTGTCTGAAAAAATAAAAGAAGACTACTACTAAATATTCTCTAACTTTAAAATCATATTCCAAGAGTGTTTCAAAGTTACAAACATCTCAACAGTGAAGCTATTCTCCAAATATTTCATTTTAACATTTCGAAGCTAAGGCATCAGGGATATAAATGAGACCACTTAAGCTATCACTGATCATGGTTATGGATCTCTTAATTGACTATCCCATTCCTCAAATAAGGTTCTCTCCCATGAGGCAAGCTGGAGAAGAAGGTGATGTCTGGATACAACCAAAATATTTCACTGCCTTGCTTTATTGTAATTTAACACAAAATCTTGCTACTTTTGTAGAGCTTTATTTTTTTTAAATGCGGTACAGCCCAAGTCATATTTCCTTCCATTAATTGACTTCCAACACTTATATTTGTGTTTGCATGTGTTACTATGAAGCTGTGGTTCTCAAAGCATGGTTGGTAACAATAAAAAGAATTTGCTTTTTCCCCTTGTTGACATTTGCATTAATGATGTAAAACCAAAAACATCAGAGTGTAATTACTGGCACCTTCACAAAAATCTAGATCCTAGCAAACAAACTGTTCTATTACTTGTAGTCTTTTCAGCCACCCACTTAGAGTAAAGTAGTAATAAAATAATTTTATATTATTTTTAATATATTATTTATTATTTTATTATTATATCATTATTATTATAAAGAAAACTAAGGGGCAGTTTCATCTAAGAACTGACATCCATATGTCAGTTTATTCTAAAAATGAATAGAAAAATACTTTAAAGCTAACTTCTTATTTAAATTGTTGAAGAATCTAAGAATCTAAGATTTTCGAAAGTACATAACATTTGAAACTTTACCGACGACACTGTGAACATGGAGAGACAGAAACATGAAATTAAAGAAATTTTAAGTGGCGTTTTTTGTTAGATTGAGAAAAATGAAAACCAACTTCAAAACAGCAAAATTCCTCTGAGACAGGGAGAAAAGAGATTTGGTTCTCTATCCCCTGTGGCCTTGTACTTCCTGACATACACTATGACTTTGCCTATTACATGATGAAATGATTTAGAAGCAATCTGTGCATGGTGGGAGAGATGAGAGGTTGTCAACAATATTGCAGTTAACCCCCAAAGTAACCCTTTCAGAAAGTAATCATGAAGGCCTAAAGAATAGCCTGACAGTGATAACTGAACAATGCAGTTAGTGGAACAAGAAAATGTCAACCATTAAAAAACAATCCCCCCTGGTGAAATGAAGCTGTCCAGGGGGAACAAAGTACAGTGTTCTGAGGCATAACTCCAGGGAGGTACCATGTCAAGTCATCTGCACCCAACGTGAGTTTTCTTCCATAGCCTTTAAATCATGTGCATGACTGCACATGGAAGAAATCCTCCCTCTCCTTCACATGTTATGATGACAACCCAGAAAAAGAAGAGGGGGATGGGGTATAATAGTGAGGATTAGCCAATCCATCAGGAAATTCCATGGGAATGCAATCACAGACACAGTAAACCACATCAGTCAGGAGCCTTACCTGAACAGAGGTTGAGTTTGGGTTCCTTGTTAACATCAGCTTTATGGTAGGATCCACTCGGGGGTCTGCTGCGGGGCGGTGCATTCAGTGGGACAGTCCTGACAGCATCTCTTTGAACGTGGATATAAGCTGAATTCTCAGCATTTCGGTTTTTATTATTATGATGGTAACTCATTTTATTTTTGGGATTTTGGAGCTGTACAGCTATAAAACAAAAGTGAAGGATAAAACTGGCTTCACATCCATAAAAAGTATATTGTACTTTTAGTGTTTGATAGTATAATGGAAGGCAACACAAGCTAAAAGAATTAAGTTTAGAGGAGTTAGGTTGATGTCTAACATTTATGGTACATGACAGTAAGCTGTTTTCCACAAAGAACATATTTGATATCTAACCACTTTTTAAATGACAATTTAGAAACATGAAATATATTGACCCTTTACCTCTCCGCATTCCAGAGCCAGGAAAGTTCTTTGGTTCATCATAAATCCATTTTCTTTTTTTCACACCTTTAAAATGAGGCTTCCTCACTGGCTGGACATCATTCACTTAGAGAAGATACAATTTTTTACAGTTTTTAAAGAGATTGTTTCATGTGAAAGTTACTGTAGGTGTTAATTAGATATCTTTGCAGTCAAAAACCAAGCAAGAAAAAAAAATGGACTACCCCAATACTTTACTTTTTAAAACAAAGGGTGATATTTACTGTTAAGTGACACAAAAAAACTATCATGTAAATGGCTGACAAAATCTTCAGCAAGCAGCTTTCCTTAAAAAAAAAAAAGCTTCCTTCCAAAGGCCTGTGTGGATTCTTTTAAAAGAACATAAAAATGCATCCCAAATATAACTATAAATTTCATTTTTATAGTGCTATTTTTAAGTAATTTTTTCAACATAAATCTTTTTGTATTCTTTTAGTCCAAAAGCCTTTTAAAGTCTTAAGAAGTTGAGTATATACAAGTGATTTGGTCAAACTACTGAAAAACCAGAATTTGTAAATACTAAATTCATAAATTTTTCACTTTTTACTTGCATCTTTTTACATCAAAGTTTTATATGAGTTTTTAATTTTCCAGGAATTTCTAAGTTAAATATTTCCAGGGAAGCTTACAATCATTGTGTAGATGGAGACATTCTGTTATTCACAAGTGTCTACTGAGCAAAGGAAATGAATATCAATCACACTGTGTAGATTACACTTGCTCTCTACAGTAGACTGATAAACCTGTCTTTGCCCTAGCTCTCAACCTCAGTTTAAGTTTTAAGCCCTCAACGAAGCTCTGATTTACTGCCTCCTCCTCAATATCATGTCCTGCCTCTGTTTCCAAGCTCTCAGGCCTGGGAGTTAGAAATTGTATTTTTAACAAGTGCCACGACACCAAACATGGTTTCCTAGGAAAAGGCATAATTGTTCCCCTTCAGTGTCTCACTGGAAACCAAAATTATTTTAGGGGTTCAAGAAATGAAATAAGGGCCAGAAGGAAACAAGAAAGGAATCAGGAAGATTCACAAGTCTTAATGTATAAAGATAAATAGTTCAGAGTATTGAATAGCAAGAATAAACAAAATCAGGAAAAACAATCCAAAACCCAATGTATTGCCAATATATTTCCCTACATGGAAAATTGTAAATGTTATATACTAGTGAATCTTCTGAAAGTAGTATGTTATTATTTTAACGTCTATATTAAACTAGTGGGAAAGCATAAAATTTACTAGGACCTACTTCACGATTCATTGTTAGAATTAATACAGGAATACTTTGTCCTTAATTCTCAGTCCTGAATAATTTTCAAACCATCTCTTTTTTTCTTTTTAAAATTCTATTTCAAATAAGCAAAACAAATCCACACTAAGACACATATATTTAAGGCCTAAAAGTGATAGAGCTAATGTCTCACTTGAAGAGGGGCCCTCTCTGCACTTCATACTGATATTCTCAGTAGCATTTAATACATGCGTTGTAGGTACTAGTCGGGTAGTTAGGGAACGCTTTGGATGAGGACTGTCCTTGTTATCTTTTAAAGCAAATTAAAAAAATAAAATGTCAATATTAGTAAAAGAAGCATTTAAGTTGGTATTTCAGTTTTCAAACATTATATGGACACACCTCTTTAGAGATATAAATGTATATTAATTTTTAGAAAGTGTCATTAAAATTTCATAGTTGCCAGACTGTACCTCAAATATTACTGATAAAACTCTGGAATGACATGCATTATTCTTCCATACATAAATAACATAATAGTGGCAATATTTTTAATGTTTTCATGCAAAAGAATTAAAAGGTTGTTAATTTTACAAGTGGGTCCATTTATAATTGACTTTCTGAAAAAATAATTTAAATGTAACAACTTTTATTTGCTCTATGCTTTGGAGTGGGACTATCCAATTAGCTCTCTACAATGATAAAAATGTTCTGAATCTATGATGTTCAATATGGTAGCCACTAGCTACATGTGGCTACTAAACACTTGAAATGTAACTGAAAACTGAATTTTTAATCTTTTTAAATTTAATTAATTTAAATGTAAATAGTCATATATAACTGATGCCTCCCATATTAGTATAGTTTTTAAAGAGTTTCTTTGATAAATTGGACAAAACTTTTCCAACTCTGATCAGAAAGGTAAAGAGATTAACATGACTTTTCATTAAAATATTTTAACACAAAAAACTTTATGCTTGAGGATATTTAATAGTCAGCAAAAAAGTAGATGAAATGGGTTTACATTTTATAATAATTATAGAAAATGTGAATCCCTCTAATTTGAGGTTAGCAGTACATTTTGGCTGGGTCTAAGAAAGGTGCTCAAGCAGAGAGGCTCCCAAGTTCAGTAAAAGCAGCATAGAACTATTGAGGATAGATTTTGTTGTTTCTCTCAATTATTTATAAACTACAGTTGGCAATGATCACACTCTAAAAAAATTTAGTCATTCTGCTATAAGTTGGGAAAAGAACACTGAAAAAGGATGTGGTATTATATTCTAAGATAATCAATAACTTTAGAGCTAGCAAGGCTCCTAAAAATTATGTAGCCCAACAGGCTAATTTTTTAGAGTAGGAAATTGAGGCTAAAAATGTTTAAATTCCAAGGTTAAACAATTAGGGACGGAGCCAGGACTGGAACCTCACTCCTATTCAAAGGATACTGTGATTTATTACTTTCCCCTCTTATACTGGTTTCTATAACAATCAAGCTTTATGTTTAATTTACCTATCCAAATTACAAAAGGGTCAATATTATTGAATGATTCATTACCTTTATTATTTGAACATTTTGGTGTGGTGATTTCCTTCTCTTCACTTAAAGCTTCACTTTCATCTACTCCAAGAAATACGATCCTTTGTGGAACATAACAGTCACCTCCTAAGACAAAAACTTACTGTCAGAAGCAACAAATGGCAAAAAGTGATACAAAGCTACCTTTCAACACAAGAATATCATCCACAATATCCCTTTGTCTGCTTTTGTTTAAATACTTCAGCGATGCCATCCCTATTCTCTACATGTATCAAAAATGCTTACATGAATACATAAGTATTAATGTGTAGGTATAACTGAATACCCGATATTCAAACTTACATATAGAAAATTGCAAGACAATGTACATATTCCACAAAATTAATTCCCCTTTAACTTATAACAATCTTTTACAGCTACTCAGAGTAAATACCCATAGTTGCTTTAAATATTACTTACATACAAAATTTTTAGATCCTTCACCACACAAGTTACCCTTTATTAAAATCAAATATTTATTTCAAATAACCTTCTTTAAAATAACAACCATATCTGGACTAACCTGTGGAAAAACCAGTGGAAGTAATAGAATAACAGCTGATATTTATGGAGCATTTTTCTATGTGTCACACCCTCCACTGAGTACTTTCAATGACTCATCACATTTAATTATATTCCTATACTACTCTTAATAATTCAGTGTGGACTTATCTTAGCTATTTGTCAGAAGCCTGACATAATTGAGGTGTCCTGCTCATTCATAGTTTAGCTGCCTGCGGGGAAAAAAAAAAAAAAAAGTTTCCCTGTGGGAAAACAACCTCATTCATACTCTACAAATCATTATTATCCACAATGTTCAACATGTAATTAAAATTAGAATGTACATTAAGAAACAGAACAATTGACCAAAAACCAGAAGATGAAGTATATCCTCCTAATAGGGAACAACAGAAAGTTAGAAAAAATAATGACTAATATCCAAAAATGACTGATGGGGAATTTAATCAGACAATTCACACAATTATCAAATAGAAAGTAGAAATTTAATACATGGAGTTAAAAGCAGAGATGAAGAGGATTACTAAGCAGGACAAGAAGTTGGCAGAGGGGCTGGGGCTGTGGCTCAGGGGTAGAGCACTCGCCTCACACGTGTGAGACACTGAGTTCAATCCTCAGCACCACGTAAAAACAAATAAAATAAAGGTACAATTAAAAAAATAAACAAAAAGAAGTTGGCAGAAAGGATCCAAATTTACCCAGTGAAATCAACAAGAAAATGATACTTTTAAGTGGGCTAGAGATGTTAGAAATACAACTTGGCAAAAGAAGAAGTCAAAATGGACAATAAATGCACGAACATGTGTTCAACATTATTAACAATCAGGGAAATCCAAATTAAAATCACAATGTGAGATCACTAACAAACCACCAAAGTAGCTAAAATCTGAAACTACTAAGTGTTGGTAAGGATATAGAGCAAGCATTCTCCCCCAGCACACACAAAAAATGAGTGCATATGCCTTTAGAAGACATGTAAACGAATGAATATCCACAGAAACCACACACTGGAAAATATTTCCAGCAAACCCCTATTATCAGTACTCTTGGGGCTTTCATAGTTTTTCACAAACACAAGTAGAGAGGTAAAAGAATTTGTTATGGGACCCACACATTCCTAGATGAGGTCTAATAAGCTTTTAGGCTAAGCCTTTTTGTTTTAGTTTTCATGCAGAGATGAATGGAGGATGGAGGCATTAGGGGGCACAGCACATCATGGACAAGAATTTAGCTCTAGGGCAGGTGGGGGGATTTGAATTCCAGTTCCAACACCTTTTAGTGAGGACAGTCTCAGAAGGGTCACCTAATGCTTCTGAACTTTGTTTTCCATTTGATTAAAAAAAAAAAGAAAATAGACTCCACCAGCATGAGTTATTTCTATAACTTAATAGAAATTATTTTAATCCATGAAAGATACATATGTGTATATGTGTGTGTGCACACATTTCCCCTAGAAGCAGTGGTTTAATATTCACTAATTCAGTGTTCATGTCAACTTTATAGAATATAACTATATGCATAATAATAATCAACTGCATGTATGTGTGTATTGACAGTGTGTCTGTGTGTATATGCACATATAATATATGTTATATATGTATATGTATATATATTATCTCTCATTATATACACTCACATACACACATCTGTATACATATAGAAATTTACACAGCAGTGTAAAAGAGCTACTGTAATAAGGAGCAACATAGATCAGCCTCATACAACTAGTGATAAATAAAATAATTCAAACTAAAAGAGTATAAACTGTACATTTCAACTTCTGTAAAGGTCAGGAAATGCAAAATTAACCTATGGTACTGACATCAGATTAGTAGTTACAATTAAGAGGGACCCTTGACTTGGAAAGGAGAAGCTCTCTGTAGTACCACAAATATGGTTATATATGGATGCATATGCATGTAAAATTTTATTGAGCTATATACCAGTAGAGTTACATACTTTATTAAATTCAAAGCTCAATAAAACATTAAAATAATAAGACTAAAGTGTTTTTCTTCAAATTGAATATTGACTAATCAGTCATAACTTTAAATTTTTATCCTCTTCCTCTGAAGGATATTTTATCAATTTGGAGGCTTAAATATGTTTATGTTGTTCTCAATACCCAGGAGATTCGTCTGTCTGGGAACACACAGATCATTATAATGCTTAAAGAATCAACAGGTCTGACTATGACAGGGCTCGGGCTGGGGCTGGGGCTCAGTGGTAGTGCACTTGCCTGGCATGTGTGAAGCACTGGGTTTGATTCTCAGCACCATTTAAAAACAAATAAAGGTCTATCAACAACTAAAAAATAAATAAAAATAAAGAATATCCTGAAATGAGGAAACCCGTTATCCCAAATGACAGAATCTTAACATTCTTTTGGAATGGTTGTTCAATCGCTTATTGCTCTCACATTATTATTATTATACAGAGTAATAAAAGTACAATGACAGTCTCACATTTTCTAAGACCCAATTAAGTAGGAAATACATTCCTGGTGTCACAACATAAAGGAAAGTTTATTTTTTATGTGAAAACATCACTTTACTAGTAGTAAAAAATAACCTTTTAACAAAAAGTATCATATGATTTAATAATATTTCACCAAAATGTACAACTAAAGCTGGTTGGATGCAGTGGGTCCGAATTTTGTACTCTTCATTTACAGTTAAAGCTTATTGCTTCAAGAAACCCAAATGAAATTTTTAGACTGAAACTATTGCAGACATAAGAAAGAAAAGAATCAAACTGTGTTGGCACCAGGAAAAAAGAATTGACAGAAGAAAATGACTAAAAATGTCTGAAGCTGGAACTGCAGAAAATATCACCAATGCGCTTCAGATGCACTGGTCCTTACCAGTACCTTCTAAACTCCTTCCTGTTCCCTCACACATTCTTCCTCCCAGCCACAAACTTTTTTCCTTATCCAAAAATCTCTGTATCTTTTTGTTAAAGCTTAGAATTTTCTGTCAGAGGAAGGATTTTCTGAAATGCTTATGCTAAAAGGCAGGTTTCAAAATGTTTAAGTTACAGTACACAATTAGGATGTGATGCCTTGGCACAAATAAAATACATATGTATATTTAAATACATCTGTCTTGACATAGCCTAACTCAAAGGATTTATTAGGGCCCTCTTGTGTTTATAGTTCTATGATAATATTGCACATGCTTAATTTTGTACTCTTCATTTACAGTTAACATTCTTTTGGAATGGTTGTTCAACCAGCTTATTGCTTTTAATGCTTGTTCAACATGCTTAATATCTGAATTTGTTAGAGCCAGAAGTTGAACCTACACACACACACACACAAAATCAGTTCTAATAAAAATACAAAAAAATGAATATCTTGCACAATGAATATAAATTCCTAGAGACATTTGTTAGAGATACAAGACTTTGAAAGCATTTGATTTTCAAATGTACCTCCAACACCCTGCATTACACATGAAAAAGACCAAAAAACAAAATGACACAAAATTTCCTGTGGTGATAATATATTCAGAATCATCTAGTTACAAATTAACTCACCTCCATTTTCTAGAGTAGCAATGTCAGTCCTTGGTTTCCTATCCAATGATGTTTTTATCTCACCTTGCCTTTCAAATAGGCTAAATTTTGTTGGAACTGTAAGACCATCCCCTAGAAACAAGGAGGAAAAGAAATAGTCACTCCAGGAACCAGTAGGTGAGTAAGTAAGAAGTCAATGATAGAATTCATGATGAAAGTAAATAAATTCAAATCTAACACAGGGCTGGGGATATAGCTCAGTTAGTAGAGGTGCATGCAACTCATGTACAAGGCCTTGGGTTCAATCCCCAGCACCTCAAAAAAAAAAAAAAAAAAAAAAAAAAAAAAAGCTAATACAACCGTTGTTTGCATTGTGATCTAGTGAAAAATATATAAATACACAAGTTTTAAGCAAACATTGTAACTGTCAACAAAGCAGCAAACAAATTAATTATCCTATTTGTATTACTAATCAAATGGCAATTTAAAAAATTTAAATAAATTAACACTATTGTGTATACATAATGTTTATGCATAAGGATTAGCTAAAACTATTTAAAAATTAAAAAATCTTTTAAAGCAAAATACATATAAGTGGATTTTTAATCTTACATTTTTAATATTTATTGCTAACTTTTTTTTTTCTTGTCTGAAGTGCAGGCCTGCAATCTGTTCCTCCTCAGATATTTCCCATATTCTGCCATCTGTTTGATGGTTCGTTGCTGCCACCTACTGCCATATTTTCAAATAGTTTGCCCCTTACAGATTAGCAAGTAGGTAGTTTATCCTGTACTTTCTTATAGTCATCCTGATCCTTAGACATTACCACATACACACCTCTCTCTCTCTGCACCTCTCTTTCTCTTCCTCTCTCTCCTCTCTCTCTCTCTTCTCTTTCTCTTCCCCCACAGGAACAGGGAGGCATTCACTTCTCTCACTTCTCTCCTACTCCTACAAAATGTGTTTTTAAGCTTACCCTAAATGCAAATGCAAAAGAACCATGTAAATACATGACATTCATGGATTTCTCTGAGTTCCTGGTTTTGTATCCAGAACATAATGCTCTTCTTATCCTGCGCTTCAAGGGGAAAATGTTCAATAACAGCAAAGTCAGCTTCACCACACCAAAGGAAAAGTTCCATGAAAGACAGAACCTAAGAATTCTGCCCACCAGAATTGTACTAAAATTGTTTGGTATATAGAACATATTCATTTAATAAACAAATATGCCTTGCTCTGTCACCCTATTATTCTGTGATGCCCTTTTTGACTTTCTTGGACTTGGTTATCTTTTTCTGTTTAGAAAAAAATCTAGACCTATTTCACAGGGAGATTTATTTCACAAATAAGATTGTAAAAGCCAATGGCTCACAGGATTACTGCATGAGGTGTGTAGTGTCACCATGTGTTTATGAAGTCTATCTATTCTGTGGCTCCTATAGGAAAATATCATTACATTAATAGCAGCTTTTCATAGAAAATTTGGGTCAGTGAGTAAAAAACACTTCCTTCCCACTCTCAAACCTGATGCATTATTTATCATTTAGTATACATTATACTAAATAATTTACTTTCTATCACACCAAGTATCTCTTACAAGTCACTTTTAATGTTGCCTTTTCATTTCTTACCTTCCTGCAATTCACTGCCATTTTCCAAAGGTTTTTCTAGCTCTTTTTCCACTGTAGGAGCTATGCTTTCTGATGATGAAATATCTGGAGGAGTTTGAAATCTATAGTATTCACCTAATCTCCCATAAGAAAAGAATGGTTAGTATGTGCATCACATCAAGTCCTGAAAAATCCACAAATGTTTGATTTCTTACCAGATTTATAACACATCTCCTTTATTGCTCTTTTTTCTTCAATTTCTTCAGGAGTCTTTGTCCATAAACTAGAAGCATCTATAGGATATATTTTTTTAAAATTAAATTGTCCCAAATCCAAATAATCTGAAAATTTGCAAATCAGAAAGAAAAATCCCAAATATTGTTTTCATGGATAGATTATATTTTTTAGCTTTTAAAATCAAGAAATTCACATACTCATAAATGTTTCTAATTGTTATCATTTTAAACATTAGAATCAGTCAAGACAAAACTATATGACTAATCATATATAAGAAGCTGAAGGCACAGACTCACACATTGAGATGTTGTCTGGAGGAAAATGTACGATGATAGATGTGGAAATGTAACGTGCTAAAAATAATAGTTGTGCATTCCTAAGCACAAGGGCACTGGTGGCCTGTAACCCATAGGAGGACATGTTCCAGGGAAGAGACAGAGTGAAGTTTATTTTCCTACATGTCTCTCTTGGATGTACATACTGGCAGACACCATGTGCTGTGGTTTTATGAGAGGAAAGGCAGAGGCTGGGGATATATAGCTCAGTTGGTAGAGTGCCTGCCTCTCATGCACAAGGCCCTGGGTTCAATCACCAGCACCATATAAAAAAACAGAGAGAGAGAGGAAAAGAAGAAAGGCAGACCTGTGTCCTTATCCTCTTCATACTCTTGTGAGGATCCCCTGGGATAATGCAGATGATAATGCATCATATATTATAAACTATAGATTTTCATAATGCCAAGGGTTCTTTGTAAGACAAACAGATGATTAATAGATATGCAGATGAACAGATGACACACATGTAATCAATGTGTTTTGCAACAGTTGTTATATATGAATGTGAGAGGTCATTTGCATCTCTTCAAGCATCTGCACATAAACACGAAATCTTCCAGTCATCATGCAGCACAACCTTCCAATCCAAATGATCACAAACATATGCAGACATGAACAGATCAGAACATAATTATTTATTTAATAAAATTAAAATGAGTTTCTCACCAAAATCTGCCCTATATATTATTACATCATAAGCCTCTGGTAGACAAACAACTATGTAAAAATACTGCCAGGTTTTTGATGTGCATTATAATCTGATGAAAGGTTTACTAACCATTTTGTTCCTCTCCTTCCTCCTCTTCATCCTCAAAGTTAGTTTTTAAAACTAAAGGATGATGAATGGGTCGTGTTATGTTATCCTGAGGTTTCAGAGGTTCCTGACTGTGGTTCACCGGTGGAATTCCTTCCTGACTTTCTTTCTGTAGTGTGGTATCTACAGAGAAAATTAATATTTCAGTCTCTTCAAGACATCTCTTATGGTAAGTATATTCCATGACCAACCAGTGCTTTCATGTTAAAATATATTTTTTATTTTAGAAAGGTGATTAAACCATTTTAAAATAAATATCAAAAGTTTGCCCACAACTCATGAAAAAGGTGCCACTTCATAAACTGTAGATGGCCATTTGGTACATCAGAACTTTTGGGCATACAGGCAGTCCCAACATGATGGTTCAACTTTACAATGATGTAAAAGAAACAGAAATTCAGTAGAAACCATACATCAAATTTTGATATTTTTCCCAAGGTTAACAGTAAGCAGTAGATACTTTTTTAAAGTGATAACAACTCACAGCTCCCGGCCAGCAACGCAATGACGGGGGTAACCCACTGACATTCCACCATATACTGTGTGGCAAAGTTATGATATATGGTAGATAGGGTGTATTTAATGAATCTTCAACTTAAAACTAAAAAATTTAAAACAAAGGTTTACTGGGATGTAATTCCACATCTTCAAATGCAAACTGATCATAATTGTCATTGTAATTATATATTAGATCTGAAAGATAAGAAAAATTTGCTTATCAGATTACAATACCTAACAAAGGTTGACTCATAAAAAGAAAGAACTTAAAATAATGGCAGATTATATCCAAAAAAAAAAAAAAAAGGAAAAGATCCAATGAGTCTAGGTTTTTGCAGCTGGCAGATATAACCTGGAAATGAAAGAATGATAACTACAAGATCTGTCTACTGGCTGGACACTGATTACAGTGGCCAAGACTCTAAGTCTTACTTAAATGCACTTTAGCTTTGAAAACTAATCCCAAAACAATAAAGCTAGCTAACTCATGGATTTTCTGTGATTATAAATCAAGTTCCTTTTTTTCTCTAAATCAATTTTTATCAAATCTGGCTAATGATCAGAATCACCTAAAGAAATGATGCAAAATACTTTTGGGGTCTCTGCTTTCTGAGCTTCTGATTTGGCAGTCTGGATTAAAGCCTGGAAATATGATACCCATTTTAAATGTCTCCAGTAATTAAGAAAACAGCCAAGTGTGGAAACCACTGACCTAAATCAATGATCATCCAATTAAAACACTGGATTACGGTAAGTTGTTTGCTGGGCATGACATTCCAATAGTTCAGATGCAATCAATCCTATTCCAGATCCTCACCTTTCATGTAAATTTCTCCACTATAATTGGTTTTCATGAAAACAGGCCTCAGTTCACAATATCATTTTCTCTGCTTTACAAAATAAAGGCCTACCCTTTACCCAGGCTAAAATTTATTATATGAAATTTATTACTCTAAAGACACATCCTCCTTTACTGATTATCAAATTACCATGAACCAAAAGAGCTGTCTTCATTACCTTGATTTATATACCATACTACCAGGAGAAAATTATGGTATGAGGAAGAGAATAATGCTCCCCCACCCAAAGCTGTCCTAATCTCAAAACCCTCCACATATGCTGTATAATATGCTAGGAAAATTAAGGTTGAAGATGGAATTAAGTTTGCTAATCAACTAACCTTAAAACTGGCAGATTGTCATGGGTTATTCCTGTAGGTCCAAAGTAATCAAAAAGAATCTTAGAAAGTAGAAGAGAACCAGGAAAAGAAACACAACAATGGAAAGTCAGATGATATGACCCAAGAAATCAACTCCCAGAGAATCCAGGAGAAATGTAGCCTGCCAACACCTTAACCCAAAGATATCTGTGTCAAATTTGCAACCTATAGAACAGAATAATAAACCAGAATCATTGAGGTCATTTGGTTTGTGATAATTTGTTGTAGCAGTAATAGAAAACTAACACACAGAGTGTTAGAAAAAATGCCACTGGTATCCATATTGGAATGATATGAATTCAAATGCGTAGTAAAATGTGGTAGTAATTAAAAATGTTTATTGAAAATGTTGCTTCTTACATCTTTGGACTATTGTTAAAGAATATACCACTATTTTTAAAAATGTTTCATTGGTACATTAAAATTGTGCATAATAACAGGATTCATTGTGACATATTCATACATGTACATACTTTGTATATAATTTGATCAATTTAATTCACCAGTACCCTTTCTCCCTCTTCCTCCTCCCTCAATCTCCTTCCTCTTCTCTACTGGTCTTTCCTCTATATTTATGAGATTCTCCCCCTCTTTATTTCCCCAGATTTTTTCTGGTTTCCACATGTAAGAGAAAACATACAACTCTTGACTTTCTGCATCTGATTTATTTCATTTAATATAATGCTATGAATTTCCATTAATTTTCCTGAAAATGACATAAGGTCATTCATTTATGACAGAATAAACCTCCATTTTAACCACCTAGGATGGTTCCATAGCTTGGCTAAAGTGAATTGTGATGGATATGAATATGATATATTATTATAGCATGTTGACTGAAATTCATTTGGATAAATACTGAAAAAGTAATAGAGTTGGGTCATTTGGTGGTTTTATCTTAGTCTTCTGAGAAACCTCCACACTGACTACCATAATAGTTGTAATAATTTACGATCCCAACAGTATAAAAATGTTCCCTATCCCTGTCCTCACTAGCATTTATTATTATCTGTATTATTTGATGAATTCAGTTCTTACTGGAGTAAGATGAAAACTTAATGTAGTTTTGGTTTGCATTTCCTTCTTGAAAGGACTAGTAAATAACTGAAAGCAAAACATGAATTTAAGCATAAAGGTCTTAGTTAATTCTCAATATATATTACCAAGAATTGTCATTAGTGGTAAAGAAAATACTTAGTGATTAATCAAAACAGTAAATGTTAGGGTCATATTTTTATAAAGCTGTATTGCAATATAATTCACGTCATATAATTTATCATTTTAAGTGTAAAATTCATCATTTTTTCCCAGTGGTTTTTAGTATATTAACAGAGTTGTGCAAACATCTCAATGATCAATTTTAAAACATTTGATTACTCCAAAAAACAAATACATGCTGATTAGCAGTTACTTATCATTTTTTCTCCCAATCTCACAGCTATACAAAATTACCAATGTATTTTCCTGTTTCTAAGGATGTGCCCATTCTGGATATCTATTTTCAATGGAATCATATAACATCTGATCTTTGGTGAATGACTTCTTCCACTTACCATGTTTTCAAAATTCATATATACTATTGCATATAAGAGCACTTTATTTGTTTTTACAACAAATAGCATTACATTGTATGAATATACCACATTTTATCCATTAATCATTTATTTACCATGGGCACTTGGGTTTTTTCTAATTTTTATATGTTATAATTACTGTTAAGGCAGTCATTTGTGTACATATAGACAAGTATTTTCACAACTCTTGGACATATCAAGGAGTGGAATAGCTGGAACATATGATGTCTCCGTGTTCAACTTTTTGTGGAACTGCCAAATGTTTCCCAAAGTAGCTGCACTGCACTATTTTACATGCCTACTGAAACATATAAAGATTCCAATTTGTCCACATCCTTGTCAATACTTATCTTTTTTTTTATTGGTTGTTCAAAACATTACAAAGCTCATGACATATCATCTTCCATACATTTGATTCAAGTTAGTTATGAACTCCCATTTTTTACCCCAAATACAAGTTGCAGAATCACATCGGTTACACATCCACATTTTTACATAATACCATATTAATGACTGTTGTATATCTTTTTAATAAAAAAAAACAAATTATCCTAGTGTGAATTGACATTTCATTTTGTTTTGCTTTACATTTCCCTAGAGGTTAATGATGATCATCATCTTTTTGTGTGCTTATTTGGCCATTTATAGGTATCTTCTCTGAATACATATAATTGAAATATTATTCAGTCCTTTTACCATTTTGTAATGGGGTTGTCTTTATATTTTTTCAGTTGTAAGATTTCTCTATATATTTTAGATTTATATCCCTTATCATATAGAACATGAAAAAAATTTTTAAGTGGATTACTTCTTTTCACTTTCTTGATGGCATTCTTAAAATAAAAATGGTTTTAATTTTGAGATTCAATCCATTTTTTCTTTGGTTGCTTATCATTTCGGTGTCATAGCTCAGGAAGTTTTGTATAACCCAAGGCTTCTTCTAAGAGTTTTATACTTTCATTTCTTATATTTCATTCTTTGGTCCATTTTGAGTTACTTTTTGTATATAATGTGGGGGGGGGAGTCCAACTTATTTTTTTTTAATGTAGCTGGATCCACTCACTCAGAGTAGAGCTGTGTCACAATAAGTAGGAAGTGGTAAAAGGAAAAGGTTGTGGCTCATATTAATATCACAGACTTGCTGTTCTTACTGAGATTTAGTAGGTTTTCAAAAATATTACATCATTCACCATATGCCCTTAGGACAATATCTAGAGACTTAATTTTTTTTTTTTTGTATCAGGGATTGAACCCAAGGACACTTGACCACTGAGCCACATCCACAGACTTTTTAAAAATATTATTTAGAGACAGAGTCTGTCTTACTGAGTTGCTTAGGGCCTCACTAAGTTGCTGAGGCTGGCTTTGAAACTTGATCTTCCTGCCTCAGCCCCCTGAGCCACTGGAATTACAGGTGTATGCCACCAAGCCTGGCTGAGACTTAAATTTTTAATATATAATTTTTACTAACTGTGGTTTATTTCACTGAAGAACAAATTTGTGCAATTCTTCACAACTTCATTTTGAAAAGTTATTCCTGGATTCACAATTTTTTAATTATACAAAGCATTATTTATAGGATTGCCAAACTATTCTTGACATCTTAGATAAAACCTGTGGATAAATTTTTAAACTGATTTTTTTACTAGATGAGAGGTTTTCTATTAGATATTTAAAACCCCTGAACCTTTCTAATTAAAGTAAGGCATCATCCTTGAATGGATAAAAAAAAATGTGGCATATGTACACAGTGGAATTTTACTCAGCAATAAAAGAGAATAAAATCATGGCATTTGCAGGTAAATGGATGGTGTTGGAGAAGATAATGCTAA